CATACTAGGTAAGACACATCATTTTATTTTATAACGCGGATATTTGCGAAGTAAATTGTTGTAAAAGCTTTTATATATGATAAGTCATCGCGCGCTCTGACTAGATACTGCCGGCGCTCATGTAAAATGCGCAACAAATACTCCACCGAAATCGGCGTATCCGAGCCAGTCGCGTTGCAGGCAAAGTGTGAGGTGAACGTACCGAATGTTTTATTAAATTTTGATCATAATCCGAATTAAAATACCAGTTTACGTTTTGAAACTGTGTAAAAATAATACTACAAGAAATAAGAAAGACACTGGAATCACATACTATCATTAAGTATCATACAATTTCGAAATTTTAACATAAAATAACACGAGCCATAAATAAGTCACAAAATATCAATGACGCTATTCAGTATTGCCGCGAATGCAAAAATAAAGTTCCCCGTGGCTGAGATTTTTATATGTGAATTTATTGTTACTATATTTTATAATATAATATATTAAACTTATTATAATATAGCCTAATTCTATATTATGTAATGTTTATTTCTGTAGTGCTGCTCAAATGACATAACTGCCATTTATTAGGGTTCCATACCCAAAGAGTATCAACGGGATCCAAATCTCCACTATCGTTCCGTCTGTCTGTCAGTAGTCAATGTGTATTTATATTGCTGCTATAACAACATAAAATAAAAAAGAAAACAAGTAAAGGTTTCTTGCATGAAGACCATACAAGAAACGTGATTTTTTTCTGTATGTGATATGTGTTTTGTTTACAGACTAAAGCGAAACCTGGATTAACACGAAATAAAATGATGCTGTGTATGTATGGTGGTATTGAAAGTTTATCATGAGCTTTTACCGCCGGGTAAAACCATCGATTCAGATCTCTACTACCAATAAATAATGAGACAAGCAAGAAATAGAAAAAGAAACATCTGGCATTAATAATCAGAAAAGGAGTGGTCTTTCATCATGATAACGCCAGATCACGAGATTAGTTATCTGTTTGAGACTTTCAATACACACTAACATTCCTAAAAATCCAGTACTTGCTTGAGTACTTAAAACCGGTTTAAAAGTTTTAGTCATTATTTTCTTTTGTTGCTTGTGTTCTTTAAAAGAAAGCTTTCTGGAGGTTTTAATATTTAAGTTTATAATTTTTTTTCCATTATAAATGGGATGACTAAATCCATGTTCCTTCAAATCTCTGGTATTGCATATATCAAATAAAACTACTTGTCGCATTTTTTAATCAAAATCCCAAGATTTCTACAGCAACGTTAATTTTTTATTATTTCACTACCTACAAGATGGTAACAAATTATCGAACAGAATGGACCCATATATATTATAATTGTAATAAAATGTAATAAAACTTTAAAACAAAAACCTCTTGAATTTGTATACAATATACGAAGAAACTTTTTCCCCAGTCTTATATACTAACTAAAGGTGTAACAAAATAGTACTTAATAACTTAGGGACTGATTCTGCCCGTCAACGTGAATATTTTTTACTATGGGATCATCTTCGAAATTTTCAATTTATACGTGATAGACCCATACTGCAGCTATATTACTGGTATAGTTGTAGCACGAATGGGTCAGCTCGTCCGGGGAGCGACCATGCTCTCACAGAATACCAGTGTAAAATAGGAGCTTAACGCTGCTGTGTTTAATATGGTGAGTGTAGAGAACCGGAGACCCTTTTTTCTGGAAACGAGGCATTCCATCTTAGTCCTCAGGGGTTGCAACGCATCTGAATTTTGATTCTTAACCGAGGATAGATGTATATGTCTATGGGCCACAGCAACCACTTACAATCAGGTTGACTGACTGCTCGTTTGTCACCCCGATCCTATAAAAAATATCTCAAAATCAGTTATTCCATACAAAATTTCGTACAAACTTGCTCAAAATGTATGGAAGACCTGATTTTTCTTGCGGTATTAGGAAGATAGATCTATAGTAAAAGTTGTTCATATTGACGCGTAGAATAGAAAGCCCTATTTTGATTACACCATATATATAACTATTTTTTTTAATTATTTGGAAATATTAGTTAGACATGTAAATAAAAAAATTAAACTGATAAAAAGGAGGCCTTATCATTTATATGTTATTTATTCAGAAGAAAAACCTATACATAATATACACAAATATACTGATACATTCGTTATTAATAAACTATTCATTTTTAAGTATTTCTGGAATACATTCATAACTATGAACTTAACTACTAAGCCATAGCATAAAATAAATTTTCCCATTAATCGGGTAATAGTTAAACTGCTCGCATATATAATTTTTCACGCACACTAGCATCATGCAAATTGTCTTATACACACTACAATATTAAGATGCCGCACTCACGGAGCAGTTACTTGGAGGGAGCGCGGTATATAGTCAGAGCGCGCGATGACTTATCATTAATCTATGCCTTCTATATATTTCTTTTATTGTATTGATCAATAACGCTAAGAATTTGGTAATATTAAGTGTAGTATACGTGGTAGAGCCATGCTGCAGCTATATTTCTGGTATAGTTGTAACACGAATGGGTCGGCTTGACCGGGGAAGGACCACGCTCTCACAGAATACCAGCGTAAAATAGCAGCTTAATGCTGCTGTGTTTCGTATGGTGAGTGTAGACAAGACTCTTTTTACTGGAAACCGAGGCATTCCATCTTAGTCCTCACGGGTGTCAACGCATCTGCATTTTGATTCGTAATCGAGGATAAATGTAGATGTCTATGGGCCACAGTAACCACTTACAATCAGGTGGACTGAGTGCTCGTTTGTCACCCTTATCCTATATAAAAAAAGTAAATATCTAAACTTAATGTACAATAGTTGGGAAGACCGTATAAGACGCATGAGGTAAGTCCGTCATATGCCGGTCTTGCCTCGAAGCAAATATCGTCAACCTTTTTTACATAGCATGTATACGTTTTTTCAAATCCTTATATTTACATTAAGATGGCCAGATGGTATATTACAGTTGACAAATGTAGGTAATTAATTTTTAACTGTCCAATCGTTTTTTTTCAGTAATCTTTGCAAGCAATCATGGCAAGCAATTAAAATAAAAAAAAAAGGGACAAAGGATCATACTCGAAAGAAAAGTTACTAGAGGCAACACAAGCTGTTAGAAATGGCCATCTGACCATCTGAGTGGCTATAAAGCTGCGCAAATTTATAATACCCCTCGCATGTCCATTATGGACCATGTGAAAAACAGGAGATTTAAATCAAATTCTCTTACTTAAATTTATATACATATATTATTTAATTTACAATAATTGTGTTAAGTAATACTATACATATTTTATTTGAAAAATCTCTTAAATATTTAAAAAATCTTAAATAGACTGTTGATTTAAGCGAATTGTTACATTTACGGGTGTGTGTATGATTAAGGAAAGAGATTGTATTGTTTTCTTGTTTACGGATTTTATAAAGAATAAGTCTGATAAGTTATAATAGTATATTTTTTTATATAAAAAAGAAAAAAAAAACAAAGACTGTTGTCTTTTGTGACTTGTTATTTTTTGTAACAAATTAAAGCTATTAAATGAAAGTAATCTTTTACGGATTTTGTCGCGTTTAATTTAATTTTTTTAATTCCCGACGTTTCGGGTGCTTTACAGCATCCATGGTGACGGGGGGAGGGGAGGAACTGAGGTGTTTGACGTCCCGATACCATAGTTAGCACGGCTACCTTCGGTTTTTGAATATATCTATCAAATCTAATGTAACGGTGGGGACGATCTTGAACATCTTCACACACTGCAGACTTCCCGGAACTTCATTCCAAGCATACCACTGCAAGACTTCAAAATACTGTAAGCTCATTCTGCGTAGATCGGACCAAAAATTAATATTCAAAAACTGATGGAAGCCGGGCTAACTATGACATCGGTACATCAAACACCTCAATCCTTCCGTGACCATAGATAATACACATATATACCAGGGATCTGTGACCATGGGTGCTGTAAAGCACCCGAAACGTCGGGAATTATAAAAGTTAAATTAAACGCGACAAAATCCGTAAAAGATTAGTTTCATTTAATGTGTAGTCTTCGCGTAAATATAAGAAATCACTAAATTAAAGCTAAACGTAATAACGGGTAACAACCAAATTACTTTTAATATTTTAATTTTACATAAATAAGTAAGAAGATTGTTGCTGTCGTTGTAATTTGTTATCTTTTTGTTTTTTTTGTAAGAAAATAATAACTATCAGTGCATTCTCACCTAAGTATATCAGGCAAAACGATGGTTTTTATTTTGGACGGATTTAACTGTTTTTTTTTGACTTATCAACAGTCAAAAATCAGTTAAATCCGTAGAAAATAAAATCTCGCTTAGTCATGTCGGATGAATTTGTGAACAGTATCATTTCAGTAATTAGTAATTACTGCTAAGCTGCAGGCAAATATTGTATTACATAATTTGAACAAATAATACTCAAATTGAGAGTGATTTGCTATCCTTTTGTTTCGCTTTTATTTCACCGAAAATGTTTACAACCCCATCATGTAAATATATGCCGGTTTTACTTCAAGTATGAGAAAATTATTTATTTAAATGAATTGCAAACTTGTATTTATCACTCTAAAGCACATATTTCAAGGACGTTTGTTACTTACCTCAAACAGTAAGGAAAGTCCGTCTACACGCAGATTTTTAAAAATACTCCTATTTAAGCGTTATTTGACATTAAAGCAATTAAAATGTTTTTAAAATAGACATGACAATATTTTTTTATCATTTGTAACTATAAGAATTACCCTAGCATGTATAGTTTCATTAGTTTGGATCAATCAAAGTTAACTATTAAAAAAGTTTGCCTTCTCCACATTGACCCTACATCATAAAATGTTGACTTTTTCAAATAATGCAAAACGCTATAATAACATACAATAGTATCACCAAGGGCAAATAAAAAATCAGTCAATCATATGCTAACAATAAAATTTAAATGCGTTGTTTTCTTTTCAGTGCCCTTTATACAATGTGATCAAAGTGGAACCGATTTGAATGCGGACATTATTCGCGAAATCTTCGGCAATGCAACATACCAAGCGCCTCCACAGGCGATCCAGGTGGCAGCTATCACACCAGCAAATAACACCTTAGTGGATCCAGAATATTTGGAAACCATGGACGTCTATTACCCAGCTGCAGCTGACTACGATAAATTTGACTGGACTCTTACAAAGGTATTTTTTAGTTTAGTTTAGTTTACGACGAGCTGTTTTCCGTAACTCCACGTCTATGCGCGTATTTTGCGTGTGGGCAGGAATAATGTGATTATTCGAGCCATGAGATCTCCCCGAAGAAGCTCAACAATCCTTTAATGTTGCATGCAACTTCGGGGAGTGATCCCGGCGTGCCGAGATGTTTAGACCTGTACGTAGCGACCTCCGGACATTTCAGTAGCACGTGGGCCGCCGTTTCTTCCTCCCCCATACATGCCCTGCACAGGGGACTATCTGTAACACCTATAGTAAATAAATGTTTGTTAAAGTTGCCGTGTTCTGTGATAGCACTTGTTACTATCCTGATCTGCGGCTTGTTCAGTCTCATTAAAACTTTGGTTAAGCGACTGTTTATTTCAGGCAGGGTCTTCCTAGCTTGTCCGCAGTCTACTTGACTTTTCCAAAGCTGAGCGTGTTGATTAGTGAAGTGTCTACGTACCAGTGAGCGAATGTTACCAAAGGGGATTGGTATGATTGGTTCCGGCCCTATAGTGGCCAGAGCCGATCCTCTTCTGGCCAGTTAGTCTGCTGCATCGTTGCCTCTGGATCCACTGTGTCCCTTTATCCATTGCAGAGTCACATTGTTGTTTTTATATACCTCATTTATTCGTTGATGGCATTCATATATTAGTCCTGAGTTCACCTCATTGCAACTCATAGCTTGTAGTACCGCCCTACTGTCGGTCAGTATTCTGATGGGGAATTCATTAACCTTCCTAGCATCTATTGCTATGGCCGCTTGAATGATACCCATACATTCCGCCTGAAAGACTGTGTTATAGGTACCCAGCGGTGTGCATATGTTGATATTGAGGTCTTCAGAGAAGGCTCCAGAACCTACACCTTCATTTGTTTTAGAACCATCCGTGAAAACTCTAAGCTCTTTTGGGCTTAATCCTTCCGGCTGGCTGGTTTCATTTAATTGTATCTTGTACTTCTTATCGAAAACAAATTGTTTAGGAATTTTATCGTACTTGGCTTGTAGGATAGCAATTTTTGAGTGGATTCTATCCATTATGCCTGTATGAGGGACACTATTCTTACTCCAAAGATTTAGAGTCTTGAGTCTGATGGCAGCTAAACTCGCTTCTTGTTGTATATGTAGATGAAGCGGGGTTAGCTCCAACATCGCTTCTAAGGCTGCTGTTGGCGTAGTTCTTATGCAGCCTGTGGCAGCCATACATGCCAGTCTCTGGTAGCGCTGAAGCTTCTTTATAGTGGTGGCTTCATTTGTCTTGGTCCACCATTCCGGAGCGCCGTATGTAATCATGGGCGAATTACAGTTTTGTAAAGCCACAGTATGATTTTTGGCGTCAGTCCCCATCTTTTGCCAATCATGTTTCTGCATTGCCAGAAAGTTATACTAGCTTTGTTGATTTTGTTTTCTATGTGTTTATTCCAGTTAAGTTTGCTGTCTAAGGTAAGACCTAAATATATTATTTCATCTATATCATCCGACAATCGGACGATAAAAAATTGAAACGTCTATAAAATTTTAACTTTATCAAAAATATGAACACAGAATAAAAAAAATATAAATAATATTATTGCATGCCTTAAGCGCAAAGCTCGTAGGTATGTACTACTAGCGCCTAAAAATCAAGATTCCAACGTTTTGTCGCATAAAATCGTATCTAACAATCATATTGAACATATAAATGACATAAAAGGCACATTGTCAGAAAGATAAATGATAGTTGACCTTATAAATATATTTTTTAAATCGATTAATTGCTATTTTTACATAAAAAAAGTGGTTTTAGTAGCTTATGGTGTAGATTTATCAAGTCCGCATGGAGTGGTAAATACGATAACTTTTAAAAATATAAAGTTTTTAACTGAATCTATTTTCTATCTCTTCATCTATCATGTGGAAAACCATGGAATGTAAATAGAAGCTTAATTTTGTTTTGTTTAGTTATAATTAATTTTTTTCGGTTGCCAATGTCGAATTTTTCGGTGTTTTAGCAGCCTTGTATTAATTTATTTTACTAAATAGACTGTCTCACTCACTCACTTCGGCGTTAACCGCCGTCGTGAGTGGATACTGTATCGGTTGTTTGCAGTGGCTCAAAAAGATCGCTGTAAAATTACAAAATATTCAAAAAACCAAATTTCATACATGATAATAGTAATCTGAGATTTTTTTTACAATATTTTAAAAGCACAGAATAAATAATAGAATAGTAGTACATACTACTATTATTTATTCTGTACACACACAAACACACACACACACACACACACACACACACACACACACACACATATATATATATATATATATATATATATATATATATACGTCTTGGACTTTATTGAGTGACCTGAATGATGATATGATGATCATATGAGCATTATAAGTCGTGCACTTTTGGATTTTCTAAAGTTTTTTTAAAATTGATGTTTGACATAGAATTATTGGAAAATTGGATGTATAATAAGGTTATTAATGAAAACATATGTGTATTTAAAATACTTTCAAAATTCCGTATAATCATGTTATGCGTAATGTTTAATGCGCTTAGGGCATGCACAATTGGATTTACCAATAGTTTTTTTGGACGAATAAATATTTTTTATTCATCTGCTTTTCGGACGATTAGTAACAGCTGTTTTATTGTGTTCATTTTCAAATGTTGATGATATTTTTAAAATAAAGGGGAAGACACATTCTACTTTTTGTTAAGGAGATGCTGTGGCTCATAACAAGGATAGATGTAGATGTCAAAGCTGCTGTGTTTTATATGGTGAATATAGAGAACCGGAGACTCTTTTTACTAGGAATGAGACATGCTACCTCAGGGGTGAAAACGCATCTGCATTTTGATTTTTTATCGAAGACAGAATTAGATGTCTGTGGGCCACAACATCCACTTGTACACAAATTGTGTGCTCGTTTGTCATACAAATTCTTCATAAAATTGACTACTTATAGACCGATAATGATAATGATAAATACGAATGAAAATAAAAATATAATACATTTTGTATTCAAACGTATGAATGCACCATCCTATATGTAAGGTTTTCGTACAAAAATCGGCGGAGGGAAAAATGCTAGGAATCTTAAAATTACACATTTATATAAGTAATATACAAAAGGTGCCGTCCGTCGAAAAAATATCTTAGTTAAAATGTTAACAACAGAACAAAAGGTTATAGGTGTCTTAGAAGGGAATCGTTTTTCTATTGATGTGTAGAAATACATAGAATGTAGATCATCGACCTTTTAGGCTCCCTTTTTGCGTCCAACTCGACTCTTGATGACGGGGGGAAAACACCGCCGACCATCCCGCGGAGTGAGTGCTCCATGCCGGATGTGCTGTTCTCACAGCGCTCGGTTCGCAAAGCACTGCTCTCCCTGGACATCCAGAAGTCGAGTGGGCCTGACGGAATCCCCCCAATTGTGCTGAGGACGTGTGCTCCGGAGTTGGCACCGGTCCTAACACGTCTTTTCCGGTACTCCTACTCCCAAGGCGTAGTCCCGAATTCATGGAAGACAGCTTTTGTCCACCCGGTCCCTAAAAAAAGGCGACCGCTCAGACCCATCCAACTATAGGCCTATCGCGATCACCTCCTTGTTCTCCAAAATAATGGAATCCATTATTAACTGCCAGCTCATCCGGTACCTTAAGGATCACCAGCTGATTAGTGACCGCCAATACGGTTTTCGTCGGGGTCGATCAGCTGGTGATCTTCTGGTCTACCTGACCCATAGATGGGCGGAGGCAGTAGAGTCCAAGGGGGAGGCGTTGGCCGTTAGTCTGGACATTGCGAAGGCCTTCGATCGGGTTTGGCACAAAGCGCTTCTTTCGAAGCTCCCTTCCTATGGGCTTCCCGAAAAATTGTGCAATTGGATCACCAGCTTCCTTGCAGATCGGAGCATCAAGGTCGTTGTAGACGGTGCATGCTCTGACTACAAGCCTATTAATGCTGGTGTTCCACAAGGCTGTGTGCTATCACCAACGCTGTTTCTTCTGCATATCAATGATATGTTGCTAACTGGTAACATTCATTGCTATGCGGATGACAGCACTGGTGATGCTCTATACACCGGCCGTGCCAATATTTCTCGGGAAAACGTCGCCGAGTACCGGAACAAACTTGTGTCTTTGCTGAACAAAGTCTCGGATTGGGGGCGACTAAATCTAGTCCAGTTTAATCCTCAGAAGACACAAGTTTGCGCGTTTACCGCTAAAAAGAGCCCCTTTGTCGTATCTCCTCAGTTTCAAGGCACTCCCCTTCTTGCCTCAGCCAGTATCGGTATCCTTGGAGTCGACATATCGAGTGACGTGCAGTTTCGTGGTCACTTGGAAGGGAAGGCCAAATTGGCCGCTAAAAAGCTTGGCGTGCTCAGCAGAGCGGGACAGTATTTCATGATGGCACACCGCCTGCAACTTTACAAGGCGCAAGTTCGGCCTCACATGGAATACTGTTCTCATCTCTGGGCAGGGGCTCCCCAGTGCCAGCTCCTTCCACTTAACCGCATCCAACGCAGAGCGGCTCGAATCGTCGACGACCGAGCCCTTTCCGATCGGCTCGGTTCATTGGCACTGCGATGAGATGTTGCATCTCTTTGCATTTTCTTTCGCATCTACCATGGGGAGTGCTCTGAGGAATTGTTCGGATTAATCCCAGCCGCCAAATTTCACGAACGCACATCGCGGCAGAACTCCCGATACCATCCACACCATCTGGATGATTGGCGGTCCACCACTGTGCGATTTAGAAGATGTTTTCTTCCTCGCACGACCTCCTTGTGGAATCGATTACCATCAGCGATTTTTCCGGACCGATACGACTTAGGGACCTTCAAGAAAAGAGCGTACTCCTTCTTAAAAGGCCGGCAACGCATCTGCGATTCCCCTGGTGTTGCAGTTGTTCATGGGCGGCGGTAGTCACTTACCATCAGGTGAGCCGCATGCTCGTTTGCCCCCTCTCCTATAAAAAAAAATCATTGTTTACATGCCAAGCTTGCACTAATCCCTCTAATTTGGGTCATTCCGTGTAGCAATAGGGTCTTATAGATTGATGATGATAATACATTATAATATGCTAGTACTGGTCCTATGTGTTGAGATAACACTAAAATATATTAGTTAAATAGCAATTTTATTAAAAAGGTAATTGTAATTCGAGAAACAAATAGTTACGGAATCTTTTATTCTTACTTTCAGCGTGTAGCGGCATCGTCGGAGGAGAACTTCTTGCTGTCTCCATTGGGGCTGAAGTTAGCTCTTGCTATCCTGACAGAAGCAGCAACAGGAGCCACACATGCTGAGCTATCTTCCGTGCTTGGTTTCGACCTCGACAGAGTTCTGGTTAGGAAAAAGTTTGCCGGTATATTGGACTCACTACAGGTTGGTAATTGTGAACACATAATGATTTTAATCGCCTAAAAAGAGAATTAGGAGAGAGTGAGATAAAAAGAAAGAACAATAGGATTGAGTTTATTCAGGATTTTAATTTAACTTACTGTGTTATTCACTTTTTCTCTCTTATATTCGTTTTTGCAATATCATGTATGATTTGGAAAACAAAGTCAGGAGTTGAATTCTTACCTACCACAATGTGTTGTTTTTTTATTATTTAAAAGTACGTTGTATGTATGTGACTAAATATTTAATAGGATTACGGCACCAAAATATATTTGGTCTTGAACGCTTGACAAGTGACCTGTGTATGTAACTTTAAGAAAAACCTCGATAAAATTTATAGGCACTACAATATCATACGAACTGTTATCACGTATTTGTATATATAATTTTACTTCTAAACTTAGTAAGATAAATAAATACAAACTATTTTGGCTGTATTTTTCAATCAATTTAACATTATTATTCCGCAAGCGGATGTAACTTCCTAAGTACTTCCTACGAACATGTACCCGTTCACGTAAATGTAAATACGTAGAGTACATTCAAAGTTTTGCTTCACTCAAGAATTAAATTAAATAAGAATTAATAAACTAATATATTTACTGCTTTTCATAGTTTTTACCATAACATTTTAAAAACTTTTTTCTTCGTTCAAATAATTTTTGAAAACATAAGGCCCAGGTTATTTGTCATGTTTTCACGTTCTAGTTCAAAACTGTCTCTAGCTTCTCTAACTCGCTCTTCTAGCTCCGTAAACGACAAACCTTTCATTAAATCTTTGATTTTGGGAAAAATAAAGAGATCGCATTTTGCGACGTTTCGATAGTGTATGCCTTACACTGTAAGGGATGGGTCACGAGCTTCTTCTTTTCAGAAGCCAAAAATTACTTTGTCTTCCTCTTATATGAATAAACGCAAAAATTTAATATCAAGCGGTAATAAAGTTTTCTAACTTTTAAAAGATGATGAATTTTTTTTTTGAATTTGTCTCATACCAATACCCAGATATGTTTGAATCTCCTCATAGGTGATGCGTCGGTTTTCTTTTCTTCAGTTAGGCGCCTGAAATTAGCCACATCTTCAGTGATCGCAGTTGAAGATCGACCTTCACGAATCTTTTCATGGAGAGAAACACGGCCACGATCGAACTCTGCATAACATTGCCTTACGGTACTCAAATGAGGTGTTTCCCTCCCAAAAGAATTTTGAAGCACAGCAAGCAGTGCAATCTTATACAATATATCATTCGCCGATTTAGGTATCATTCGTTTGTACGAGTTTATTTGATAATTTGCACAAATATTTCATCTGTGGGTAATTAACACAAAACCATGATTCCAAATTTTGATGTAATTTTTTTGTTGTATCGTTTGTATTTTTTGTTTTACAGTCCCGTAGCACTACTGATATTCAATAAAATGTTGGTTACATTATTTTCCGGCATATATTAGATGGTATACCGATGGAAATGAAGTTTTTCTGTCTTTAGCATAGTTTTGTCACAAATTCTCAATTACATCCACACAACATGCAGTGGTCCACCACTTTGCAAATTTCCAGGAGTTTTCAGTATCACATATCCATTTTATGGAATCTACTATTAGGACTAATATAACTTAGAGTTGATTTTTAAAATAATCAGTTTATAGCGATTTGAAACGTACTTACTACTCTTCATTTCCATCAGGTGAATTTGCTCTCCCTAAAAAAATATCCTTCGTTAAAGTTGGTAAAAAATTACTTCGCCTACATCCGCTTGATAAAATATATTGATGTGTCTTACCTAGTTTGAAGAGCACCTCCCGCCCTACCTCAATTGCGAGCACTATCGCCGTCACCACTAATCCCAGCACCACTACTCCCGAAACCACTACAAAAGGAAAGACACACCACCTACGACAATACGACACGTGTTTTGCCTCTATACGAGGCCTCTTCAGGTGATCTAGACTCTGCGGTGGCTGACCGTCTTAGCGGGAGCACACGAAGTAATTTTTTACCAACTTTAATATAATACACTACCGCAAAGTAAGGCCTGATTCTATTGAACATCCTTCGTCTTTTTAAGGAGTTGTTAATTATGTACATATAATATTTTTTATAGACAAAATCTTCGAAGTATATACTAAACTTGGGTAGCAGAATCTACATCGGAGAAAACGGTGAACCTCGTCAACGATTCGCTGCGATCGCCGAGAATTACTATAAGACTGAGTTAATGAAGATAGACTTCGGCAGTCCCGTGGAAGCGGCAACTTCTATTAACGAATGGATCTCTAACATAACTATGGGACGGATACCCAATTTAGTAAATGCAGGTGTGTCATAACTTGTAATAAAAGTGGCTTTTTATACCCTTTAGATTTTTACTCAATATTGAGTGCAATACGTGGTAGAGCCATGCTGCAGCTATATTAGTAGTATAGTTGTAGCACGAATGGGTCGGCTCGACCGGGGAAGAATCACGCTCTCACAGAATACCACCATCAAATAGCAGCTCAACCTTGCTGTGTTTCGTATGGTGAGTGTAGAGAACCGGAGACCCTTTTTACTGGAAACGAGGCATTCCGTCTTAGTCCTCACGGGTGGCAACGCATCTGCATTCTGATTCGCAAACGAGGATAAATGTAGATGTCTTTGGGCCACAGCAACCACTTACCATCAGGTGGACTGTGTGCTCGTTTGTCACCCTATACTATAAAAAAATGTAAAAGACAGAAATATGTGAAAAAGAAGCGCGTATACAGACAGACATCTTAGCAAAAGAAAATTGGTAATTGGAAAATAATCCTTATCTTCTTTACCTTCCTTTCGTCGTGCGACATCCATTGATCAAGATAGATTGTAGTGTGTAGTCTATTAATGTTTTTGTTTGCTGATAAAACAAAAACCTATACTAAATAAAGAAGTTCTAATTGAAATAAAAATGAACAGAGCCATCTTGCTTATTCAATACCTTATAAAATATTTTTTCAATTAAATTAGCGAAGAGTTTGTAGGCAAACTGTATGAAAATATGATATGTGGTCCACCACATTAGTTTTGGTGGATATTTAGTCGCGTATTTTGGACATCTGAGACATCTTAATACTGGTTACCAGTCTGTTTTTTTATGTTTTTTTTTTTATAGAATTATAGTGATAAACGAGCACACTGTCCACCTGATGGCTTACCATAACCACTTATGGTTTCTGTGGCCCATAGACATCTACATCTATCTTCGTTTGGGAATTAAACTGCAGATGCGTTGCCAGCCGTGAGGACTAAGATAGAATGCCTCTTTTCCACTAAAATGGGTCCCGGTTCTCTACACTCACCATACGAAAGACAGCAGCATTAAGCTGCTATTTTACGCTGGTATTCTGTGAGAGCGTGGTCCTTCCCGGTCGAGCCGACTAATTCATGCTACAACTATACTCTTAATATAGCTGCAGCTTGGCTCTACCACGTAAACAATGTTTTGTATTATCAAGAATTTGATTTTATCAGAGTATTAATTTATCCTGGAATTTACTTTATTATATTCTAGTATTGTGGCAATGGAAGGAAAAGGGGAGATCTCCCGTCGGGCAAAGTGATTGATTAACCCGGGGAGCGGCTAACGCTCCGAGTGGTAGTTCAAAGCTATTCTATATACTCATTAACTGCAAAACTTTGATAGCGCGATTTAGACTTCGGTGCGTTTCGTTTGTAGCGCGACGATAGTGCCGCCACAGTATTTTCTTAACCACAACAAAAGTATATGATTTCTGATATGATAAATGAGAATGTTCGTGTTTAGATCATCTTCATCATTAAAGCTACGAATACTATCGAATATGTCGTTAGTAATAGTCACCATTCAGCTTAAATACTGTAACGAAGTATATTTTTAAAAATATAACTAGGTCTGTAATCGAAATTGCTTTCTTTTTTAGATGACGTCGCAGGAGTTGCGATGTTAGTGCTCACGACTCTTTACTTCAAGGGTACTTGGCGACACCAGTTCGTTCCTAACGCTACCAGGCCGTCTTCGTTCTACGTCTCGTCAAAATGCTTCAAGGAGGTCCAGTTTATGAATGTCAAAAACAAGTTTTATTACGCCGAGTCATCTAAGTTCGACGCGAAAATTATAAGAATGTCGTATTTGGTAAATTCACTTCTGATATTTTTTGTTTCAATAATTGTCTTTCTACGGAAATGTTTGTTGTGTCAATAACGATAATGGTGGTGGCATGTTTATTGTTAAGCTTGAGACTAAGTTAGTTTGGCCATTTCGTGCACGGCGAGATTGATCGTGTTCTTAGTCTAAAACCGTCAATAACAATCATCTACCGCTGTTACTTTCAAGAGTGTGACATGCATTAATTGTAAAAAAATTGTCCATACTCACCAGGCTCTGTGGGAGTGTGATAGCAGCATATAGCGGAGACTCTCGCACTGATAATGTTGTAGTCTGTCATTATTCACTTTAGTGTTTTAAATGAAAAAAGGAATTCGGAGAAAACTGCATAGTTTTCACCGTGGTTCTGCTTAACCCCATCTGAAGGGCCAACAGTTTCTGCTTACGTTTGGGATTTCTTTGAATTCGCGCCTTCACAACTTTTATCACTGCTGGAGTCCTAACAGACCGAGGGCGACCACTTCTTGACCTGTCATCTACACTAGAGTCTTCATTGTATCGTTTGATGGTACGATAAACGAATCTTTTGGTTATATTCAAATTTTTCAGTATGTCAAAATTTGAATTGGCGCGTATCCGCAACGATGCAACGCAATAACTGCAACACGGTCTTTAAGCGTCCACTCCATATTTAAAAATGAGGAAGATTCTAAAAAGTATACAGTTTTATTTTCATGAATAATTCGAAATTCGAATTCAATAAACTTGTTTTATTACGCCAGCATTCTAAAAGAAAAGTGTTTACTGTGTGACAATACTTATGACCTGACTAGGTAGAAATACATATGTATTGTTTGATACTTTATGCGTTTATATGTATGTCGGAAGTATAGTGGGTATAGTACAGAGACTAATTTTGTAGTTAGGAATAATAATTAATTCGTTTACACGAATTAATTATCCAATGAGTCGAGGATAAACTAGTAACGGAATACGACAAGTGTACCGTTCCACGTCAGAGCCAAGACTGTCTTAACGGCGGCCGCTCAGTCCGTTTTATACAAGCAGGACGGGCGGTAACGCAGGTGCGATGCCGCAGGTGTGCGGTACACGTGTCGTTTACAAGAATTCTGTCTTGCTAGACCGACGCCACCGCATCTACAACGGTGCAGGTGCCGTCACGGCCATACTGACATGCGTGCGTCCTCGCACGCGCTCCATTACAATTTTAGTTATCTGTAACAACTGTAATCTGTAAAACATCGTTCGATTATCCTGATAAAACAGCGTCTGGTCCGGTCTATACTGACCCTTCAGACTCTGGTGATAATCAGTTTTGTTCCGGCACTAAGCCCTACAAAACTGATTATCAACAACATACAACTTTATGCTAGATCGGAATGATTAGTCTGTAGCTTTTTCTATTTTCTCTTTTTTTTTCAAGTACTGTTTTCGCTAGTCCGGAATCACTATTCCCTATAGCTATATCACTGGACCGGCACAAAGCCCTGCAATGATTGTAAGAACTATTCTTTTTTCTTAATCTCTTTTTTTTTCAGTACTATTTATGCTAGTCCGGAATCACTATTCCCTGTAGCTTTATCATTGGACCGGCAAACGCCCTGCAATGATAGTAAGAACCACATTTTTTTTCTTACTCTCTTTTTTTTTCAATTCAGTATAGAACAGTTACAGACCAATCATACCGCAAACATGTCCCCGTCACAATCACACAAAAGTGTATCGTGAGGGACGTAGTGACACGATAACACCCAAGTATGTAAACCAATAGCAACACGACACATATCCCAGTGCAGCACAGACCAGCCTCCCTGCAACTTCATGTTCCTTTCCTGCACTAGAATGATTACTTCGCTAGAGTGTTGCAACGTCTCTAGTATTTTCTAGATGCACAGACACGGCTACCTCTGACTGTCGCACGTCCTCGTGCGGTTGACAGTGAACAGCATACGGTCTATCAGGTATCACCACCTGCTAACAGATATTAACTCTTGTTAAATATTACAACGGTCGACCATCCCAGACTTCATTTAAGTCATGGACGCGCCGATATGGCCACCTCCAGGCAAACGCACTCCAACTTTCCGTTCTGCTGCGTTCGTGCCACATTCGCGCTAGCAAGCCGTCGCGCCGTAATGGCGCTAGCGAATCGTCGCACTGCTTTGCAAAATTAAAAATTAAGAGAAATGGAGATAAATGTATTGCGAACCATGGAATTCCAAGATTCTCTTAAGAAACGGCAACTGTATGCCATTTGAAAACATTGCAAAAAAGGGAAACTATGTGTAGAGACAAATACCATCACATATTTCAAAGGGAAGGAGGCAACTGCGCATAATCTACGAATGCCGACCAAGCCTCAGACGTTCATTTACAGCACCAAAGGACCATGTGTTCGGCGGCCGCTTGAATTGTCTTGCCGTAAGATCTGCCGATAAGTTACAGACTGTAGCGGTGTAGGCTCAATCTTACTAGCGCTCGGCCGTACCTGACCATGTTCGATTAGCCGTCACAACAACTTCCTCATTGATCATTGTTGTAGAGACTTCTACGAATGCCTCGACATCAAACCCCAATCTTGTCAACGACACAATATTCGGAGCAAACTGCAACACTGATCAACACATTAGAACACAAAAATGTCACTTATTATTTTCAATCCATAGCGTGTTAAAGTTAATCCTTTATTGTAGTACAACCCTTAAACGTTTTGAATTTCAAAATATAACTGATGATAATCATGTTTCGCATGAACTATCAAATTACAACAAAACGAGAGCAGCAGGAGCACCTGAGGGTTTACAAGCATCGTCGGGGTTGTAGTCATCATGATCTGCGTGAAAAACAAATTGTTAACTATAAGGACAACATACACAGTTGCCTGTTCTCTCATCTATCACACATACGAGGCCCTAAAACAGAAATTCGTTCTCATACCTTGGACTATAATAAAGCACTTCGCTTTCACAAGTAAACATAGGTCTTCATACGAAGTATCTGACACATACTCTTACTTGAACTTGCGAGATCCCACGTTAACTACGTGAACCACATTAAAAACGTGAACCAGGACAGCGCCTGCCAGGACAGAGCCTAATACATGTTCAGAAAACATTACCGTGCACACAGCATACGACTTCCGCGCACACAGTGTGACTCCCACGCATACAGAGTACACGACTTCCGAGGCATCGCCATGTACTGCTTACGCGCGCTCCGGGATGGCGCCTGCGTATACGCGCATACGCATCTACTAAAACCAGGCCATGTTACAGCTGGACCTGGTAGTCCGTTACGACCAGCAAGGCACACACTCACGCACTTGTAATCACATCACACGTGCTACTGTAACACATAAAAGAAAACATTAAAAATACTCAGTCGGAACTTGATTTCAAGAAATGCAGCACTACTCTTGGTACACCATTCGCCTTTCTAGGGCACTAAATACTGAGCTGCGGCTACACGACAACCTCTGGTATGGTCCGATCCTCATGTAAACTTAAATACTCTCTTCAATGTCAGAACCAATTGGCTCTACTTCACTTTCATCAGTTATACTTCGGTTTTCCGGCATTTTTCGCAACCAATTAAAAATGTAAACACTCATTCTTACAAAATAGTTTCTGAGCCAATGTTTAGGATAAATTTACTTTCCTCATGTATCTAATGGTGATCAGTAGCAGCGACAAATAATAAGTCCGCGGCGTCATAAGCCGACAGCATACTCAAAAGCGAGCGCTACAGCTCCACGTCCACGCTTTCCACTAAACCATTCCAAGTTTGTCGACTACGTAATGCTCGGAGTAAACTGTAACACTTATCATCACATTAGATCACAAAAATACTACTTAGTGTTTTTAAGTCATAGCACGTTAAAGTAATCATGTTCTTTTTTTCGGTACATCGTTTAAACATTTTGAACTTTAAAACTAGGCCATGTAAATCACACCTCGTGTATCAAATTATAACATTACTTGAGCAAGTTTTTGTTAACATATTTAGGTACGTCAGAAATAATGAAAATACTTGAGGGTACTTTTAATACAAATCGAACAAAAGGATTTATCTTTTGGCTTAAATAATTTCACTTTATCTTTTCTCTACACTTTAATGATACGACAATATCGTAAGTAGGACAGCAAATTTTATTACGGTATTTAACATAAAAAGAGATCCATCAATGTGAAATGCATTATAGCCTTCACAAATGTAATAATTCTCATACTATTCAAAGATTGTATGTGGGCAAAAATGGGGACTTTATCCCACTTCTGATGTCGGAAGTATAGTGGGTATAGTACAGAGACTAATTTTGTAGTTGGGAATAATAATTAATTCGTTTACACGAATTAATTATCCAATGAGTCGAGGATAAACTAGTAACGGAATACGACAAGTGTACCGTTCCACGTCAGAGCCAAGACTGTCTTAACGGCGGCCGCTCAGTCCGTTTTATACAAGCAGGACGGGCGGTAACGCAGGTGCGATGCCGCAGGTGTGCGGTACACGTGTCGTTTACAAGAATTCTGTCTTGCTAGACCGACGCCACCGCATCTACAACGGTGCAGGTGCCGTCATGTACTTATTCGTACAAAGAAACGCAGATGTTATTAGAAAAGACTAGAAATGTAAACATTAATCGTTGAATTCCTTTTTTTTTAAATAATATTTTACCGCAAGTAAACAAAATAACGATTTATTACATTTAGTTTACTTGCGGTAAAATATAAACAAACAAAATAACGATTTATCACAAAAAACTTCAAAATACATAAGATTATTTTTCATATTTACATCAATGATTCCTTCCTTATTTACATCAATGACCTCCCCAAGATTATTGACGAGCTTTGTGTGATGTTTGCTGACGATTTTTCCGTTGTGTTCTCATATACCAATGGTACCAAACTTAATGAAAGAATCGACATAATTATAAACAAAGTAAAACAATGGCTAAGCGAACATAATTTATAAGTCAATTTCAAAAAACTAAATTGATACAATTCAGACCACGACAAAAACACGAACTAGATATAAATTATACAAATAATGAATCAAAATTAGAATGTGTTAAAAATTTTCCTTTGCTGGGTATAAATATAGATCCGAATGTTAATTTTAAATCACATATTCAAAAAAATAGGTTAAAATTGTCACAATTTATATTTGCTTTAAGAGAAATAAAAAATCTACAAATTTAAAAACGGCAGTGACAGCCTATCACGCCTACGCTCAAGCGTGGCTAAACTACGGCGTCATATTGTGGGGCAACAGTGTAGAATCACACGAACTTTTTATTTTACAAAAAAAAATGTATACGCGTACTTGCAAATATCAAACAAAGAGAAAGCTGCAAACCTCACTTTCAAAGTCTCAAAATTCTAACATTACCGTGCCTATATATATTAGAAATATGTACCTAAGTTTGTAAAAAGTCACCCAAGTTTTTACACCAAAATCATAGACGCGCCCCGACACAACGTACCTCGCTATAAGAATAACCTTTTGCAACCAAAATCTAAATTAAAATTACACAGTACAAGTCCTTACCCGTTGTCAATAAAAATTTATAATAAATTGCCGGAATACATAAAAGCCGAAACAAATATTAATAAATTCATAAGATCTTTAAAAGATATATACTTATTAAAAAAAGTTATTATTCAATTAATGAATACATTGAGGAAAAGAATTTTTAAGTGTCTGCCCCTCTCCTGTTCATTGCTATGCCTTTCGAGGTGCATGTGATTGTTAGAACTTGCATGTTTTGTTTAGTCTCTAAGTCACATGTAACGCAATTTGTGAATAAATAAATAAATAAATATTTTTACCTTTTTTGTACAAGGTGGGGCACGATCTGGCATTTTCCTTTTATTTATATGAATACAAAGATAATGTTGATAGTATTTGTATGTATGCAAGTGTAATGTATATAGTGTCGATAATATTTTTCTAGTAGTTTTAAATTTAATACATTTGGCACTTAATTTTTTGTTAATGTGCTCTTCTATAAGAATAATTTTTCAAAAATTACAAGTCTGTGTTAGTGCTGTATTTCGTTATAATAAAATGCTATTATTTTCAGGGTGACAAATTTGCAATGTATATTGTAGTTCCAAACTCCTTAACCGGATTGCCGCGCGTATACAACAACCTCAGTGACCTTCGCAGTGAGCTACACCTGCTCCAACGGCACTTGGTAGATTTGACCTTGCCAAAGTTCAAATTCGACTACACTTCGATCTTAGACGGCGTACTAAAGGAGGTGAGCTAGTAAAATCTTTTTTAAAAATATTTAGGTAAAGTTTACAAGAAAGTAGAAAAAATATTGGTTGATAATAGCAACCATATTACTCGTACGTTTTTGATATTGGATTGAACGAGATGAGAGAGCCATGTTGCAGCTATTTAAGTGGTAGAGCCATACTGCAGCTATATTATGGTTGTAGTATGAATGGGTTAAGGGGGACGGACCGCGCTGTCCCAGAATACCAGCGTAAAATTGTAGCTTAAGGCTGTGTTTCGTATGGTGAGTGTAAAGAACTGGAACCCTTTTACTGGAAACAAGGCATTCCATCTTAGTCTTCAGGGGTAACAACGCATCTGCATTTTGATTCTTAATCGAGGATAGATGTAGATGTTTGTGGGCCACAGCATCCCTTTATCATCAAGTGGACTGTGTGCTAGTTCCTTCAACCTTATTCTATAAAACATAAATTAAAAACACGTTCACACAGATTGCCGCTCAAATATCGTAAACTTATACTTATTACTTATATTTATTTCTTTCTTTCATATGGTTTTATCATCTGGTCTCTTTCTATCTTAATTTTCAGTTAGACGTTTAAGTATTAGGTATCTATTATACCTTTATTCTATAACAATTTTTAAATATCATCCTTTTATGTACAGTTGGGTATTCGAGAAGCGTTCGAAGACACGGCTTCGTTCCCCGGTATCTCTCGTGGGCAACTTCTGTCCCAACGGCTAAAGGTGTCGAAGGTGTTGCAGCGGTCTGGCATCGAAGTGAACGAGCTTGGCAGTATAGCTTACTCGGCTACAGGTGAACATTTAATTAAAATGTTTGTTTTATCATCATCGTCATTACCTGCTGTCCATTATACGACCTATATGGAACGAGGGTCTGTCATTATAAGACAAAGTGAAGCCTTGAGCCACCTGCATTTATTGACTTACGATTCTCAAGGTCACTCTATTTAGTTCGGGGTCAGTTTACTTACACATTAGCAACCACTTAACTTCGAGTAGATATTTAGCATCGTAAATGTTCAGGTGCGAGACATCTGGTACTGCAATCGTCAATTCACCTGCTAAGCATAACAATTAAAAGAGAGGCAAGTCCTATCAACAACTGGAGGGGCTCATTTACAGGCTGTGGTCAAAATGACAATGATGATGAGCCTTTCAACTCTTCCCAAACTATACATAATTGTTAACCGTTAAGGATATAATTGTAAGTTAAATGACACTGATGAAATATGAAATATTGGAATACTATCAATGTAGGTATCAAATCGTATTGACAAGTTGTTTATCCTTCGACACGTACAAAGCTATAACAAAATGTAAGCCTAATATATGATGCGATTCAAATAAGAATAGAATTGATCTGGCGCATAGCCGTCAATTTAAATTGTGACATTGTGATATAATATTGTGACGTCATAGGTGAGGCGAGTGAAATCGATATTTTCGAAATAATATTTATTTACAAAAGATCCATGAACGAAAAAGTAATAGTCTTCTTTTTTTTTTATAGGATAAGGGTATGTAGATGCGTTGTCACCCGTGAGGACTAAGATGGAATGCCTCATTTCCAGTAAAAAGGGCCTCCGGCCACCTAAAAATTCTGTCTGAATGAAAAACAGTCTGAATCTAGCATTTTAACTTCGCTCATCTCGATATCACTTTTTGAGAAGTCATCATTGTCATCATTATCATGACTGCTGCCTTACCTTATAAAAATGTATCAATATTTTAAATTAATTTATAAAAATAATAAAGAGTTCAGTTAAATAAAGCGGAATAACAAGTTTTCAAGTGACAGTTACAGATTGCGGTCATTTAAGGCCATTGACGTTTCTATTCTTATTTGAATCGCATAGTAGGTACCTAATGAGCATAAAAACAATGAAATTCCTTAACGGATGGTGTAATTCATGGTGGCAAGAAATCTTTAAACTCACTAGATATTATAATGAAATAAAAGTATGACAAGAATATCCCAGTCAGCATGCATTAGATGATTAGTTACGAGATTTGTCTATACTTACCTACCTAAAGGGGGGTATACCTTCGCACTGACACATTATCTTTATGTGAAAATTAAATTTAGCGTTTCTAGATGTCTTTACTTCATGTTTTAAGCAACGCGTATAAATGAGATTGACATTTTCAGAATTTTCTATATTTTTTCTTCCAACCTATATTAAATTAGTACAAATTAATAAACATAAACAAAATTTTATTGCTTCATCACTTTAAGTTGTTATTTTTGTATTGTTTCATAGAAATATCTCTGGAAAACAAGTTCGGCGAAGATGAGTCTTTCTACGAGGTGGTGGTTAACAGACCCTTCATGTTCTTCATCCAGGACGAAGCTACAAGACAGTTATTATTTACAGGTCGCGTATCAGACCCAAGTCTCGTAGACGGTGCTTTTAAGCTCTCATAATAGATCGACATAAACACAAATCTAAGTTTTACTATACCTACCACTAGGGCTAAACTCAATTCAAATTTAAGTTAATATAAAATTGTACTCAATGTCTCTATTTCTTAATTTAATTATATTTTAAATTATTTACTGATTATTAATAAAAGCCTTTTTAAAATCCTGGTTGTACAGATATAATTTAACATATACTTAAATCGCTGACTGTACCTACTATAATATTATGACCCTAATGATTTGATACTGTATTTTGTGAATGTTAATTATAAGTTTGTTTTTAAATGAGTCTTTTATTTTATAGTAATGATTTTTAACTTCATATATACTTTTGTAGACTATATACGAAATATAAAGCGCGAATATGATAATTTATTTATGGCCATTTTAGTTTTATAATTTTAACTATGTATGTATGTATGGGGGGACGCCCTACACTTCGCCTGCCGGTACGAGGCTGCCACTCGAGAACCTTTCTTCCCCATCGGTTGTCGGTTCTTCGAGCTATATGGCCGGCCCATTGCCACTTCAGCTTACTAATCCGTTGGGCTATGTCGGTCACTCTAGTTCTACTGCGGATATCCTCATTTCTGAGTTTATCACGCAGAGAAACTCCGAGCATAGCCCTCTCCATAGCTCGCTGAGCGACCTTGAGCTTCCTCATCCGGCCAGCAGTGAAGGACCACGTCTCAGTACCGTATGTCATACGTAGGGCGTCCCCCCACTAGATGGAGTGACGACCTGGTAAGATATGCAGGAAGTCGATGGATGCAGGTGGCTCAGGACCGTGCTTTGTGGCATTCTTTGGGGGAGGCCTATGTTCAGCAGTGGACTTGTGAAGGGCTGTAATGATGATGATGATGATGTATGTATGTAGGGGGTCATTGTAGAAGCGTGCTCGTCGCGACCCCTGCCAGCCCTTTTCAGGGCTGCAATTCTACTCAGCTGCGCACCCATGTCAACGAGGGTTAGGGCGTCCCCCCAAGGCGACGCACACCAGCTCGTCCCCGTTGGTGTGGAATGCAGCGCGCAAAGCGGCGATGGGGACCGCCACCCGTCACGCACAGCCCGACACGGCGGAAGGTGGAGGACGGAGTGCAGAGTTGGCACGTGGAATGTTAGAGGAGGCATGAGAGATAAGACGAATGAGTTGATCGAAATAATGAAAGAAAGAGAATTAGATGTCGTGTGTATGTCGGAGACCAAACGGAAGGGCAGTGGTACTGAAGAGCTCCCTGGCGGGGCGTTAGCTCTATGGTCCGGAGTCCCGGATAGCGAGAACGCCTGCCAGGGAGTGGGGGTGCTGCTGTCTTCTCGGTTTGTCGATGTTATGACTGAATATAAGTTTGTGAACTCAAGACTTCTCTGGGTTCGCTTTAAATTGGGACTGACGAAGTTATTCCTTTTGGCTGTTTATGCGCCGGTGGCTTCGTCGTCCAGGGCTGAGCTGGAGGAGTTTTGGGAGAATGTAAGAGAAGTTCTAGATTTGGCTAGGGGAAACGAAAGGATTGTTGTATGTGGTGATTTGAATGGATGGGTTGGTACCGCTCGACCAGGGTACGAGTCGGTACTTGGAAAGTTTGGCGATAAAAGGGTTAATGATGCTGGCAAGCTTATACTGGCGGTATGCAAGGAAAAGGGTCTTCTTGTGACAAACACTATGTTTAATCACAAGAAAATCCATATGTATACTAGAGAAAGAAAAAATGAGAGAAGTATGATCGATTTGTTCCTGGTGGATGACCGACTGCGAAAACAGGTTATGGATACGCGAGTGTTCAGGGGTGCTGACCTGGGAACGGATCACTATCTAGTGATTACTAGATTTAGGGGTCTGTTCGCGGGTTGGCGCTATCGGACGACAGTGACAGAACCACAGTCGGTCTGTCGCATCCGAAGCTGGAAGCTTCAGGAAGCGGATACTAGGGACAAATATCATGCGAGGGTAGCCGAAAAGCTTGACACCATCGATGGCAGAAACGAATGTGTAGAAAGAACATGGCAGAACCTTAGGGATGGAATGGTAAGTGCAGCGGAAGAAGTGTGTGGAACAATAAAAAGAGGCAGTAGTAAAAGAAGAGATGCATGGTGGAATGATGAAGTGAAAGAAGCTGTAAAGAAGAAGAAGAAAGCATGGTTAGATTACTTGGCCTCTAGTAATGATAAGGATATGAGAGAGAAGATGAAAGAAAGATATAAGCTGCAGAAAGTTCACACGAAAGCATTGATTGAGGAAGTGCGTGAAAGGTGTAGAATGGAAGCGGATGAAAGGTTGTCGCACAACTTTAAGGAGAACTCCAAACTCTTCTGGAAAGAGGTTGGAAGGACCCGAAGTGGTGCGACGGCCTTAAGAAAGAACAAAGTGCTTTCGAGAACTAATGACGTCCTCTCAGAAAAATCGGACGTCATGCAGCGATGGAGCGAATTTTATAGAGAAATGTATGCGTGTGATGATCTTAGTGAGGGATCCGGGGATGACGCCGTGACTGGCACGCCAGACCCGGACCTCGATGACACTGAGGTCATCAGTATGAAAGAGATTGAACGTGCGATTCGAAGTTTGAAATGTGGTAAGGCTGCGGGACTAGACAGAGTTACTGCTGAAATGGTCAAGTATGGTGGGCCTCGCGTCTGGGACAGCTTTCATCTGCTGTGCAATTTGTGCTGGCGGACGGGGGATGTCCCGGATGATTGGCGATCCGCAGTCATTGTGCCTTTATATAAAGGTAAAGGTTCACATTTTGACTGCGGGTGCTATCGGGCGATCAGCTTGACCAGTTTAGCAAGTAAAGTTTACTCGAAGGTTTTGACACGTAGGATGCAAGAGAAATCGGAAAGATTTCTATGGGAGGCACAATGCGGATTTAGACCTGGAAGAGGATGCACGGATCAAATGTTTTCTCTCCGTATGATCACGGAAAAGCTTCTGGCTGTTAACCAGAAGATTTTCTGTGCTTTTGTGGATCTTGAGAAAGCATTTGATAAGGTTGTAAGGAAGAAAATGTGGGAACTGTTGCCGGGGTATGGTGTGGATGGCCGATTGCTAAGGGCTGTGCAGTCTCTTTACTGTGACTGTAAAGCCTGGGTGCGGGTAGGGCATGACCTGTCACCCATGTTTAGCGTCCAAACGGGCGTAAAACAGGGTTGTGTCATGTCTTCCTGGCTGTTCATACTGTATCTCGACAGCTGTTTACAAAAGCTGAAAGATAGCTGTTTGGGTGTGAAATTGGGTGACATAAAAGTAAATTGTCTGCTGTATGCTGATGATGCAGTGCTTATTGCACCATCAGAGGCAGAACTGCAGGCATTAGTCACGTGTATGAAAGAGGAATGTGAAATTAAAGGTCTCCGTTTGAATGCTAATAAAACTAAGGTTCTGGTATTTGAAAGGGACGAAGAGAGAACGAAGGGTGAAATATGGGTAAATCAGGAATGTCTAGAACAGGTAAATGAAATTGTATACTTGGGGAGTGCTTTTAGCCGGGATGGAAGATGTGATTTAGATGTGGACAAGCGTGTCGCTGCCGGGAACAAAGTCAATGGTGCCCTGACTGCGTTAGTCAAAAGGCAAGGCGTAGCGAAGAGTGCACGCCTTGCAATACATAACGCAGTGTTGGTACCGACTTTGTTATATGGCAGCGAAACCTGGGTATGCCAGAAGAAGCATAAAAGTAAGTTGAATGTAGTGGAGATGCGATCTCTTCGTAAAATGTGCGGCGTTACTATGGCCGACCGAAAGCGAAACGAAGAGATTCGCAATATGGCAGGTTTGAAAGATGACCTTATCACAAAAATTGATAAGGGCGTGCTTCGGTGGTTTGGGCACGTTGAGCGAATGAGTGAAGACCGAATGGTGAAGAAAATATATAGCGCGAAAGTTAATATTAAAAGGTGTCGAGGTAGACCGAGACTAACTTTCGAAGACCATGTGAGCAAATTGCTCGAAGAGGGTAGGGTCAAGAGTACTCGGATACCTAGACGTGCATGTATGAAGAAGATAATGAATCTGAAAGAAGCGAAAGAGATATGTAAGGATCGTGACACTTGGCGATCTGTTCTCTCTGGCTACCCCGTCAGGGATTGTGCGTGAAGATAAGTAAGTAAGTAAGTAAGTATACGAGGGCGTTCAAAAAAGAGTGAGAAAGCGATACATACTTTTTGGAATTTTAAAAAGAAAATACTGACGGCAAACGTTGGAAAGTTATCTGTAAGATAGGCTCATAAAGAAGTTAAACTGTTTGTATTTAAAAAAATTATTTCTTAGTTTCTTCAAAAAATGGTTTCTTGCTAATTTTTAAGAAAAATGGCCCAATAATGCCGCTAGACCAAAATCCGGACCAGACAGGCACTCGTTGTGGATACGATAGTTTTGTTTAATGACTCCGAGGTGGAAATGAGCTTCATCTGAAAACATGATTTTTCGGTAAAAATTCTTATCTTCGATCAAGCGGTCTTCGGCGCATTGAGCAAACTAAAAACGCATCGGATGGTCATGCGGCTTCAGCTTTTGTATTAATTGAACTTTATACACATTCATAGCAAGATCTTTATGCAAAATTCTTCTCAAAGAAGCACATGAAATATTCAATTCTAGAGAACAATGACAAGTTGATGTTGATACGAGTAGTTTTTCACACACACTCTGAGCAACAGCAGCGATGTTTTCGGTTGAGCGTACTGTACGAGTACGCACACGGGTTGTTTTATCCAACCACGATCCAGTTTCACGAACTCGCTTTATAAATTGATCCACAAACTGCGTTTTTGTCACATTCTTTTTGTCAAATTTTATCGTAAATTTCTTATAGTTTGTAGAACACACCACTTTGGAAAAAAGTTTTTAATATTGCCGAACTTTGTTCCAGCGAAAAGCGATCCATTTCATAAATATCAAACATAAAACTAACTTACTGTAATATATATATATATATATATGTATATATATATATATATATATATATATGTATATGTGTATATGTGTAAAAATATTTATTCGTCGAAAAAAACTATTGGTAAATCCAATTGTGTATTCTTTTTTGCGCCAAAAATCCAATTGTGTATTGTAAGCGCATTAAAAATTACGTATAAAATGATTATACGGAAATTTTGAAAGTATTTTAAATACACATATGTTTTCATTAATAACCTTATTATACTTCCAATTTTCCAATAATTCTATGTCAAACTTCAATTTTAAAAAAACTTTGGAAAATCCAAAAGTGCACGACTTATAATGCAATTCAGGTCACTCAATAAAGTCCAAGACGTATATATATATGTCT